GATGGATTAAAAATCAATTGCATTTTGTGGATGAGACCACCTATAGGTAGTTGTACACTCTTGGAAACATAAAGTTTCGCGTCGCAATAATGCCTTGGCGCTGATAGGTTGATTGGCTCTGGACTCCCGCTTGCGACAGCTCTATCTACCGTTTTAATTTCCGAAACTGTTCTGTAGATCGTGCTATAAGATTTAATTTATCTTATGGAGAGAGTTTAAAATATTTTCAAGTCATTGGACAGCCAAATAGTTGTAGCTACTAAGGAAGATGTGCGATGCATCTGTTGCTTGTCAGACTGGGTAGATTCCTGCAGTAAAAACTCAACTGACATAAATTTTGTACAACGTAATGTTTCTTTCAAGTTTAGTTACTATGAAGGGGTGTTTAGTATAAAGCAGAATACACGAGCCACATTAGCGAGGTATTGTCCGTCCTAGTATGAAATACAGAGTAGCTTTTTGGGATCCATATACACTTACTCACAAAGCAAATATAGAAATAATTCAATAGAAAGCTGTCAAGTTAACGTATGGGGAAAACTCATTAAAACAATCATGGCAGCTGCTCGAAACACGAAGGAAATAGAGGCATTGAGCCTCTTACGTAGGTCAACTTGGCAGAAAATTTAGAATAGACAAGTTTAGCGAACGTATTTTGGTGATGAAAACCGTAATTAAAAAAATGTGGCGAAAAAACAGAAAAGATTTAGGTATTTTTTATTCGTCAATATAACTACAGGAGATTAAAAAGTTTGGCGACAAATGTTTTCAAAACGAATCCTTTCAATAAAGACTTAAAAATATGTTAGAATTAGTTTAGTAACAATCAATTATACAACTTTAAAATATCATATAAAGTTAATACTTAAATAAATGTCATTCAGCTTAGTAAAGAGTTCTGAATGACGTTGAAGGTTGTCGAATCGTAGGACAGGAACAGTGTAGTGCAACGGTTATGCTGGGCTGTGCATCACGGTGTGGTGTAGTTCAGACGAGCTTAATATTAAGATTATCTTTATTATTATTATTATTATTATTATTATTATTATTATTATTATAAAATATTGAAATTCATTTAGTTCGTAAATTACTGCCACCGAGTTGTTCCGAATTGCAGTTAAATAATTTTGTTTTCTCTAAATATTAGATAGAGGGATTACCCATACTTCCCTTTTCCTCTGTTAAAATGAAAATCATGTCAGTATCGCTAATCGCTCGACCTAATAATGAAGCGGCCCGTGTTCTTTCTGTTGCCGCTAGATCATTAGAAGCCATATAGCGCCCTTGATGCATTAATAACTATTGTGCCTTGCACATTCCTAATGTTGCAACTTACATCACAAAACGGAAAGTTCCGGGCCCAACAAAGAAGATAAATTGTTTGTTTTAGAAGAAACTTAATCAGCTGCTCTTCCCAATGATATAATCAGCGTCTAAATTCAAGAAGACTACCAAGAACACCAAAATAGTTTGGTTAAGATCAAGTGTAAATATTTAAGAAATAATGATCGGTAAAATATTTGTAGAGTAAAATAATGGAAAAGCGTTTTGTACCAAATGTATGCATTGTATGTTAATATTTGAAAATTCACCAACCTACGTTGAATCCACAATGAAAACACTATTTGGTATTTCGTATTCAGCACATTGAATAATTCTTTGAAGTTCTCGAGTGATTTTAAAAGTAATTTTTAAAACAAAACATGTTTTCGTATAACTTTTTTTAAAAAAACATTCTGCCCTAAGTATCGATCTTTTTCCTCGTCGTCTGCTTTCCTCGATGTCTCAACCGTTTCCCGCCCGAGAAATACTAACCACGCGCCGACGTTCCGAAGGGAGGAATTTCTAACTGCGACGCACGAACTGTCACAGACGTCGCCCGGCCGCTCAAGCTGGTTAAATAAACAACTCGCAAAGTTTAATTTCTCCCCCAAAGTTCCGAACAAAAATATTTCATTGTGGAGACTTACGGTCTCGTTGACGTCATCTTCCTAAATCCGCTTTTCACGTGATTTGCGCCGTAAGTAATAATCGATATCCTGTCGACTTATTAATGTGGCAGCACTGGAATATTCTAGAAATGTAGATTCGCTTCGATTTTGTTCGGCACCGCGTGGACGAAGCGTGTATGTGTGTGTTGGGGGGAGGGGGAGGTTAGGGGACGCGCAATTAGATGCAGCGTTGTTGGGTTCAAACCACAATCCATGGTGGTGGGAGGGGGGTAGTCGGGAGAATTCAGGGTCGCAGATGGAGATAGCTGGGAAATTCAGTGTGACTCGATTATGACGTCGACCGTCCACCGAGTGCAGCAAATGGCTCATATAATTCATTCAGCCTCGTGTTGTAACGAAATAAATTGCGTAGTCCTTCGAGCAACGTTATCGAGGCTTCTATCCAGAGCCCCTTGATTCATTGGTGACGTATAGCTAAAGTCCATTCTCAGGGGGGAGTTTTTTTTGTTCGGCCAGCCTCTGTCGATAGTCCGCGATTTTCATCTTGTTCGAGTTATCGACCTTCAAACTGCCTTGTAGCCCGAGAGAGCATCTCGTGTTGGAAAAGGTTTCATTGTTTTCACTTCTTTTTTTTATTTCACAGCCCCACAGCGAAAATAAACTTTTGTATTTTTAAACATGTGAAATGGAAATGCGGAGCTTTGCCGAACGTTGCTTTTTTTTGTTTCAGATCCGTCGAACTTTCCGACGCAACTTGGACTAACCGCTCCCAGGGGGATGTTGAAAACAAAACTCGCATCCCAAAAAGATTCAGAGAAGTGCACCCCACACTGTCAACGTCACAGGTAGGCTTCCTTTGTAGTCTTGGGGTTTCCCTAGCTCGATTTTTTCTTGCAATCACTGCGAGCAGGGCCGAACCCTGTGTATTCAGGCCCAACTCCTGCGTATGTGAGCGTGCACGCATCCGTGTGTGTGTGTGTTTCTGAATTAAAGGCACCGTCACCATGTCGCCATAGGTGGGAGTATTTGTCATTCGCTCACTTCAAAGCGCGTTCTTGATGTCCCGTGTTGCCGGGAAGGTCGCTGAAAACAAAGATCAAATACCCTAACGCCCGCGGCACCCTTTATTCCCGAGTGGTTCCCGGCAAGTGGGCGTGGGGCGGGCGTGGTTAGGGGGGCAAACGGGAGGTCGCATCGACTGAAAGGGTTGCTTTGGGGTGCGGACGAGTCTCTGCCAGCCACCCCCGTGTCGGTTCCTTTGTCGCCTCGCCGCAGGTACGGACTCAAAAAGACGGCATCGCCGCGGCGTCGTATAAACTTTCCGTACATACCGTTGGTTCTGCTTCAGGATACGCTGTCTCCTGTGATCTGCTCGTACCTCCTTATTTACTGTCGTTGAGTTGCCTGGCGTTTCACAGTCTGTTAATAATAGTTAAATAAACCGGTTTCATTGTTCTTATTCTGCACCATCCGAATCTCATCGTATAACATCCATCTCGTTTTTCTTATGAAAAAATGTTAACACGTGTTTTTTACAGAGAAACACGTTATTGTAGGGTAGAGGTAGAACGTTTCTCGGACCAAAGCGTCCGTTTTTTCAGTTGCACTTAAACTATAAAAGACCAGTCACAATTAAAGAGATATAAGAGTATATTTTATCACAGAGATAGAATATTATAATAAATAAAAAGCATACAAGATCAAGAACTAAGTGTTAAAGAAGCAATATCAAAAATCACCATATATAATTTTCATTAAAACATTTCATTAAAACATATACTTACAATAATATGGCGATGTCAATTAATATTAGAAGTTAATAAATCATTTAGATGTCATGTTTACAAAAATATTTTCCAAACAGGAGCATACCTAAAAGTAAAATTTTAACAGCTCAGGAGGGAATGCTCCCGATCGCATTTATAACTCAACAGTTACTTGAAATGGAATGGAAGTCAGTGGAAACCAACGTAGACTTCTTAGAATTGAGATGGAAAAGAAAAGAAGCATCAGCAGTGGGGGACGAAGTTATACGACGAAGAGAACTCATATTAACATGATACATATTTAAATGTCATAAAATAGAAGTAAAATATCTAGATATTTTTTTGTTTTGTTTTCACAAAAAACGTATACAGAAGTAAACATATTACATTCTAAATTAAAATTGAAAGTTTTTTTTCAAAACTAGACCAAATTTCAGATTTTTCAGGAGGCACAAAAAGCCTTTTACCATAGAAATACATAGTGAGAAATTTATTTGTTTTGTTTTTAGATACTGTATGTCTTTGTAAATAGTGTTTAATATCATAGATTGGTATTCGATTTACAAATAAAAAAGAAAAGTATTTTAGAATTCTTCGTTTTTTTTGTGGAATTAATTCCTATTTGTGGATTTAATACCTGTTCCTGGACTTGATTTGTTCTTGATGGAAATTTGAGGGACTAGTTTAACTCTTGTAGAAACGCCTATTTTTACGCCTTTCAGTATTTTTAGCACTTGCCGAAAGAAAATGTTCCATCAGATAGCACCAGCTGTAGAGAATAACATGGTGAAATATCTCAAATTATGGAAATTTGGAGTTGTTTGGTTATTGAAAGAAACCTCTCAATTCATTGTCTAATCAAGTTTTATAAATAATATTCTGATATGAGTCTAGCATTTCTCGTTTAGTCATCTTGGTGATATAAGATTATAAGATTTAGGAACTCAAATGTATGAGTCAATTGCAAACAATGTTTATAAATGATGTTTCACCTACAAGTTTCTTCTTTGATATTATTCTTGCGTGCCCGCATTTTTGTTTCAATTTCAATTTATTTTGCGAGATAGCTAACGTCTTTATGTAATTACACAGGAAGGTGACATACAACAGTCAGACTAAAACTTCAGTGATTGAACGAATCTGAGCAGAGAATTCCTTGTTGTTTTAGTGTATTTTTATTCGTTTCTTGCGAGACTAAATTTGAACTACATAAAGTAAATCACACAATACGCTTTAAGATAAAATAAACTTTGTGTAAGATCAGCATTTATTCCAGCTTTATTATTTCTTTGTACACCCCGAAGGGCTTGGCGCATCAGGGAGAGAAATAACTCTCGCGTGTCTGCCTTTCAATTGTATTTTAGTTGCAAATTTTCAATTGTATTTTAGTTGCGCGTTCTCTGCCATTCCCTTCTGTTCTGCAGCTCCTGACGCGTGGTTCCTTGTTTTTCCGCGCCGCTCCCCGTCCCGTCATCGTCCTGCGTTCGGTCCTCCCGTTATCTTTCTTCGCACCTTGGCTTCCGCACTGGTGCCATCGTACCGTCCCCATTGACGGCACCCTCCTCGTCGTCTCTGTCGTCCCCATCGTGGGTACCGTTTTGACCGTCGTTGCCGTCCCGGCATTCGCACGTCCTGCACTAGCCAGCCTATCTCGACGTCTCACCATTCCCACCGTTTCGACTATCTTCCGCCATGTCGCCGTCCCGCCATTTCGTTCCTCCATCCTGGCGATTTCACACAACAGCTTACCATTCCACCGTTCCCACCAACTCTGCCATTCACGACATTCCATCGTTTTACACTGTCCCGCTTCCCGTCACTCCGCGTCCCGCTGTCCGCAGTCTCCGCTATCCCCGCCTCTTGCCGTCCTCCACCTTCCCCCAACCACCCATCCCGCGTCCGCTGCCGGATGAAGACAAGAAAAGTACCGTCCGCTCCGCCATCCCGCCATTCCCCGCCTAAAATGCTAACCGCGTCCCGCGTCCCCGCGTCCGTCCCGTGGGTCCCGTCCGCGGCCGTCCCGCACGTCCCCGCTCGCCCGCGTCCCGCCTCCCGCCGTCCCGCGTCCCCGCTCGTCCCGCGTCCCGCCGTCCCGCCGTCCCCGCGTCCCGCCGTCCCCGCCGTCCCGCCGTCCACCGCCGGCCAGACGTCCGCGTCCGCCGTCCCCGGCATCCCGCCGTCCCGCGTTCGCCGTCTCCTCCGTCCGCCATACTCACGTGCCAGCACTTCTCCTGTGTCTTCACATTAGTCTTCCCTCCACCGCGCTGCTCATCGTCGCCCGTGCTGTCGACGCGCGCTCCCCACCACGCACGTCGCCCACGGCTTCGCCGCCCTCGCGCCCCCCCCTCCGTCGTCGGTGTCGCGCGGGTCGCCGCCCCCATCCCCCCCGGCCCCGCGCGCGTCAACGGACACGGCGCTCGCCCGGAAATTTACGTGGCATGAAGGGTGGCGACCGCGTGTACTACTCCGGCGGTCCGACGTCCTCAACCCCGCCCTGCGCCTGCCTCCGCGGCTCTTCCTTCGTCTGGCGACAGTCCTCGGCGCTCCCTCCGTCGGCCCTGGCCTCGAATAATCCGCCACCGCCAGGGCTCGTGCGGCCGCCTTTCTCTTTAGTTTCCGATATTTCTTTAAAATTTGTCCTCGTCACTACAAGCCACAATGGATCTTTTTTCAATTAAGAACATGCAGGTCTCTAGAGACGTAATTTGCTTTTGCGGTAGAGTGCAGAAGTAAAAATTGTAAACAAACTAACAACTCCCACTAATAGCTAACTATTTTAGAATTAACATACCACCAGTGTCGCTATTTCAGACGTTTTTCTCTCTGTGGCTTTTCAGATTTTCTAAATGCCTTTCTTAGTATTGAATGATTTCGCGTTTCCGATTACACAGTAATCTATTTTTGAAAGAATTGTAGGTTATTTTGTAACAGACCTCGCTTTTTTTTACCCTTTCGGCTCTACAGACGCCTTCCCCTTGGATACATCTTTTTAGAAATGCTCTTTTATCCTATGCCTTATCAAGATTTTTTTTAAATTTTAGAATAGAGTTGTTTTGTTTCTCAATCCGACTTAATTCTCGTTCAGAACAAATAAACTGTACAGACAGCATTGAATTTGTATATAGTTTCAACTGTCATACAATTTTATGAATTTACATTTGTATCTCTAGGTTGAAAATATATGTTAGTCTGTACTTGCAACTTCGTTCTAAATTTTACCACATGAATTTAATGTTTTCCGTAGAGTAACTTCAAGTTATTAAATATTTTGACCTTCATTTTAATAGTATATTAACTTGGACTTTGTATTCTGTTATAGTACAAATAAAATTAGCGCCCTTTCAATTCTAATTTAAATCAATTAATAAAGTGCATGTACGATGTCACTATGTTATCTTAAAAAATAAAATTGATTTTATCGTTCGATTATCAATGTGTTTTTATTACATCAAAATATTAGTTTTATTTTAAACAGAGGCGACGTTAATTAATTAGAAAGGAATATTTACTTTATAAACAGTAACTTTTCCGACGCCACTGTTTTGAAGACTACAAACGAGTCTCAAACCAACTGTTTAATATTTTATAGCTTGAAGCATTTGACAGGATTACAAAGAAGATATAATTAGATTATTTGTTTTTATTTTTTCAACATTATTGAAGATCTATTTTGACATGGTTTTAATATAAGGCATATTTTTTAATACAATATACAAGGTGGACAAGGTAGGTGGATCGGTGTACATTAGGACCTTCCAGAAATTGCATTTTTTGTCGAAGGAAGAAGCGACGCGATAATGGAATGAAAATGATGCAAGAAAAAAACGCTGAAAGTGGTCTCTGAATTACTAGGAAGAAGAAAGCTAAGTACTTTGTGGCAAAAACGTTAATTTAGGTCTAAAATAATTTCTCTGCTTAACTTCGATGCCAGATGTCGTTCATTACACACATTCTACTCGAATACAGTGATTTCGGATATAGTGAACTTTTGGTTGTAGTTAATTAGTAACTGGTGTCAATGTCAGTATATTACAAATAAACACTAGATTATTCGGCTACTTTGCAGTGAAATCTCTCCA